CCCCGCTCAAACTGGTAGCTCCTTTATACCCCTTCCCCGCCGCCCCCCCCCCCCCACACCCCCGCACCCCCCCCCCCCCCCCCCCCCCCCCCCCCCCCCCCCCCCCCCCCCCCCCCCCCCCCCCCCCCCCCCCCCCCCCCCCCCCCCCCCCCCCATTTTCCCCCCCCCCCCCCTTTTTCGACCCCCCCCCTTGACGCTTCCCATAGGTTCTATTTCCCCTGAACGACCCTTGACACCCACCTATCCGACTCTCACACCATCTCCATTTCTCTCAGCTAGCACACGTTCCACTCCCAAGTCCTCAAGACCAGGTACCGACGTGTTTAGCGTCGAGATCCCGCTTGATCTGTTATACACGGGAGGCAAGAAGTATGTCACAGTGATGAAGAAGAAAGGGCCACAATTAGCAATGCCATCGCTGCATGCAGCTTACTCCCATTTGCGGCCATCGTCGTCCCCTTCTGCTCGGGATGGTGATTGCGAAGGAGGAGGAGGAGGGGAGAAGGTGTGTGCTTTCTCCACAAGCATTGCGAAGCCTTGGACCGAATGGGACCACCACGGAACAGAGACGTGGAAGACGGGAACAACAGAGGAGGTAACCGTCAGATTACAGATCCGCAAAGGGTCAGTGCACGGGACAAGAATCATTGGGACGACAAAGACGAAAGGGGAAGAGAAAAGCCAAAGGAGCGAAATGGTGGGACCAAAAAAGTACATGGGAAAAAGTGCAGAAGAGGAGGAGGAAACGGGAGGGGGAGAAGGGGAGATGAAAAGGGGAGGAGGAGGAGGACGAGGAGGAGGAGGAGGAGGAGGAGGAGTCAGCAAAATGGTATTCGTGCTAAAACCACCCATCATGCAATCATTCAAAATTGAGTTGTCTAGACAGTTGAGGGAAGCAAGGCAAAGTCTGAGAGAGACCAGATGGCTAAGACGGACAAGGACAAGGCTCTATGACCGTGTTAACACTGCACCTTCCAGGGGGTCCATTACAAGCCCATATTTGATTGACATTTAACCAC